GGTTACATTTGTTGTGAGACATTGGTGTTCTATGCAGCATAGGGTTGGGAAGAAAAGAGGGGACCACAGGTCTCAAAATGTTTAGGGCCCTCTGGTTATAGCAGGAGTGGAGAACCTGTGACCCTCCATATATTTTTGAACTGAACCCCAACTCCCATCATCTCCAGCCAACATGGTCAGTGGTCCAGGATGGTGGCAACAACTAGAAGATCACCACTGCTGGGTTATAGTGAGGAATCTTGTTCCACAGGCTCACTCTCTCCCTGTTACCTTCTGTGTGAGAGCTGTCCTGTTCCATGCTTCCCCACAGCAGTTGGCATTCTTCAGCTTCAGGGACATTTCCTGTACCAAGGATTCACTATTGGTTTTCTGAAATGCAAGATAGGTAGGAAATAGTCTGAGCATGCACAAAGTAGCTTTCCTGCACCATTGCACAACCACCTGCAGTTCTTGCACATATGAAATTGGGGAGCAGGGCTTCTAGGTCAGAAAGGTGTGGCAGCTTCCAAAAGACACTTCTAATTTTACCCATTAAGCTGTTGTGGCACCTATCAATCTTAGCAGCGTGAGATGGAACAGGGTAGCAATATACATGGCAAATCTTATTCTAAGACTCAAATATAGAAATGCATTCTTGTGCCTTGGTACACATTTTGGAAACACGTCAATCTGAAAATCAATTGGTCTAATTCAGTTGCTGCTTTTCTGATCCCGACTCCTGATCTAATTATTTATTTATCTTCCTCTGTAGATATTTTATAACTGGAGAGATGCCACTAGGGCATAACCGCTGTACACTAAATGAGAACACACCATAAGGCTAGGATATTCCAGGAAGAGCCACTTAAATGAACGAAGCACAGATTTTATTCTTTACATTAATTGTGACCTTCAAATTAAAATGGCTCTGTTCACCCCCCCTTCCCCTTTTAAAAAGCATCATGACAAATTGCTTGCTTTGAGTGCTGTGCACAGATTGCACAACTGGTGGGGTCCACTGTTTTCCCCCATGCATATATAGCTTTCCAACATTTTGCAGATAAAAGCATTCTTGTAACATCCCTTTTCTCACACAAAATATCGCTGCTTGAGTGCTGCTCCCCCCCCCCCGAACACTTGCCAAAGGCACTTCATCTCCTGTGTGCTACGTTCATATACTTTGCAGTAGAGGGTCTGGCATACAGAAGCCAAGAGGACGTCGTTCTATGAGCTAAACAATATTAGGGGAAAACATTATTACCTTATGTAGGTCACACAAGCCTGCCGAAGGTACTAAGATGGTCAGCTGAGGCCTTACTTTGAGTATCCCAGGTTGGCTGGGTGGCTACCAGGGAAAAGTCTTTTCTGTCATCATGCCCTGACTTTGGAACACCCTCCCCAAACATGTTTACCTGGAAACCACTTCTTTTAATACACTTTAGGTACAAGTTGCTTTGCTGCTCAAGGTCTTAATGGAATATCATAATACTGCTTATAATCTAGATGCTGCTCCACTGATTTCAGTTGTTCTTAATTGCTTTGCATATTTTTCTTGCATTGATTTAATCTCTTGGAAGTTGCCTTGCACACTTCTTCTTCTTCTTAATATATAAAAGTATTTTTATATATTGCCAGTTCATACAATATAATCCAGTGACATACAACACTGTATACAATAAAATATAAAAGACCATAAAAACAGTAAAAAATGATCCTTAAAATGAGTGGCTGCTCCATTTTTAACAGTTACATGTGCCTATGTACATAAAAAGGGTCTTTTAAGAGATGCCTGAAAATAAAAAGTGAGGGTGATTGCTGACCTTCTGCTGGAAGGGTGTTCCATGGGCAGCACTAAATGTCTGACTTTTGGTGGAAGCCAGTCAGGCCTGTAACATGAAGGACAGCTAGCAATATTCTTGTAGGTGATCTCAGTGTGATCAAACTGAGAGATTAAAGCTCAGGCCATCCCTAAGGTGTCTGGACTCAGGTTGTCCAGCTCTTTATATATGAACACAAGGGCCTTGAATCTAACCCTGTGAAGATATTGTAGCAAAGGTGTTAACATGCTGTTGGCATTCTGCACCACACATATCCTCCAATATTTCTCCGATGAAAATAGGGAGAAACGATAATTTTACTATTTATACTCCACACAACTTACTGGGTCGCCCCAGCAACTCTGGGTGGCTTCCAACATATATAAAAACATAGTAAAACATTTAACATTAAAAAAACTTCCCTATACAGGATGGCCTTCAGACAGCTCGGAGGGTCGGATAACTCCACACCCTCCAACATTTCTCCAGTGAAAATAGGGGCATCCTAAGGAAAAGTGGAACGTTCCAGGATCAAATCAGAAACCAGAACGGCTTCTCTAAACCAGGGTCGTCCCTGGAAAATAGGGACACTTGGAGGGTCTGGACCCAGGGGCAGCCCCACATGGGAAGCACATCGCAGTAGTCCAGCTGCAAGGTTGCCAATGCATGGGTTGTAGTGGCCAGGTTATGCCTGTCCAGATGAGGCATATCAGGACTTAAAGCTTTTTTTGATCTAAGGTGGCACCTCTCTTTCCTGTGCCACGTGAAGCTTGACAGCTGTTCTGTCAACCGTGATGCAACCGACTTTTAGCTGAGTTGCCTTCTGTGATATCTACAGCCTTATCCCATGCTAGTTTACCAATAAGTAAACTCGAGTCTTGTTTGTGGTCTTCCCAAAGGCATTTAGTCTGCTGCTGTGACAGCAGGGCCTGTGGGCTGATCTAGCAGGGCTGTTCCTAAATTCTCAAGAAAGCCCTATTATAATCAATGGAGCTTGTTCCTGAGCAAATAGTGCATTGGAATAACAGAATCATCAAACTGTAGAGTTGGAAGGAACTTTGAGGGCCATCTAGTCCAACCCCCTGCAATGCAGGAATCTCAGCTAAAGCATCCATGACACCCACCTCTGCTTAAACACCTCCAAGGAAGCAGAGTCCACAACCTCCTGATGGAGCCCATTCCATAGGCTAGGTAGTATGACCACATAATGGAGTAAACTTCTTTGAACTAAGTGGGCTTTAGTTTTATTATTTATTACATTAATTCCACCTTTTCCCTCCAAAGAGCTCAAGGTGGTGTAAATTGTTCCCCCTCCCCTTTTATCTTTACACCACCAACAACTGGCTAAACATCTTTCTGATGGCAAGAGCCATTAGACAGTGGAACGGTCTCCCTCAGAATGTGGAGGACCCTCCTTCACTGGGGGTTTTTAAGCAAGAGTTTGGATAGCCACCTGCCCTTGATACTTCAGTTGAGATTCCTGCATTGCAGGGGGTTGGACTAGAAAACTCTCAAGGTCCCTTCAAACTCTACAATTCTATGATTAATTAAGTAGGTTACGGCTGAGAGACTGTGACTGGCCCAAGGCTTCATGGCTGAGCAGGGATTCGAACCCTACTCTCTCAGGTGCTAATCCTATACTCTGATCATTCTACCACACTGGCTCTCAGAGTAAACAGGCATTAGGATTGGGGTTATACTGTAACATGGAAGGTGGGTTTGCCAGAAGTGAACCAGATGCCAGAAGTGAACCAGATGTGAACACATGCCCTTATAGGAGCTTCCAAAGCTTAGGTTAATGCATGGAGGTACACTTTAAAGAGGTAAAGATAAGGTAAAGATACCCCTGCCCATACGGGCCAGTCTTGACAGACTCTAGGGTTGTGCGCTCATCTCACTCTATAGGCCGGGAGCCAGCGCTGTCCGCAGACACTTCCGGGTCACGTGGCCAGCGTGACAAGCTGCATCTGGCGAGCCAGTGCAGCACACGGAACGCCGTTTACCTTCCCGCTGGTAAGCGGTCCCTATTTATCTACTTGCACCCGGAGGTGCTTTCAAACTGCTAGGTTCGAAAAGGTACACTTTACCTCACCTCAAAAAGGATATTATGGATTTGGAAAAAGTTCAGAAAAGGAGATAGAGTGACTCCCTGATGAAAAGAAGTTGCAGTGTTTGGGGGGTTTTTTGGTTTGGAGAACAGGCAAGGAAGAGGAAACATGATTGAAGTTTATATAATTATGCATGGCCTGGAGAAAGTAGATAGACAAAGGCCCCCCCCCTTTCAATAATCTTTCAATAACATTAGACCTCGTGGGCATCCAATGAAGCAGAATGTGAAAAGATTTGGGAGTTGTTCCATCTGGCCTCTGGCTTGGAATTAATTGATCCCCTCCCCCTTTTTCCTTCTGTGATGGAACTCCTATTTGGGGACTTCCCTGGCTTTTTCTGGCCCATGTCTGGACAGGTGGCCTTGGTGAAGATTTGACGTTTTCATCCCCAAAAAGATTCTGATTTGAGTTTCTATTGAAATGAGGCTGCATTTTAATGTTGTATTTTAATCTTGTTTTTAAGTTGTATCTTAATCAATTGTTTTATATCTGGTGTTAGCCGCCCTGAGCCTGGTCTTGGCTGGGGAGGGTGGGGTATAAATAAAATTTATTATTATTATTATTACAGTCATACCTTGGGTTAAAGTAGCTTCGGGTTAAATCTTTTCAGGTTGCGTCCTGCGGCGACCTGGAAGTAATGGAACGGGTTACTTCTGGGTTTCGCTGCTCACGCATGTGCTCAAAATGATGGCATGCGCATGCGCAGAAGCGGTGAATCGCGACCCGCACACACGGGTTGCGTTCTGCTCAGGATGCGAACGGGGCTCCAGAATGGATCCCGTTTGCATCCAGAGGTACCACTGTATTATAAAAGGGCTTCTCACAGTGCATAAATAAACTATGGAACTCCCTCCCGCAGGAGGCCGTGGTGGAGGCCTTTAAAAGAGGACTAGACCAATTCATGGAGGAGGAGGAGAGGGCTCACAGGAAGAGAGCGTTGCTCTTGTGCTCAGGTTGTGCTTGCAGGTTTCTGACAGGCATCTAGTTGGCCCCTGGGAGAACAGGATGCTGGCCTGGGCGGGGCCTAGTCCTGCAGTGAGGGGGATGGGGGAAATCCGGCAGCTCCACTGCGCAGGCGCGAAACAGCTCTCAGTCCGTGGACGTCGCTCGCTGCCGTCTCAGCCCCCGGAAGGAGCCGAGAGCTTCCGATGAGAGCCGAGCAGCTCCGGAGGTTTCCCCGACGAAGCGCAGCTCCCTCGGCTCCGCTCGCGGGCCGGCGCCCCGCGGCGATGGGCGGTGCTGGGAGAGGGGCGGTCTAGCGGCGGCGGCGGCCTCCTCCTCCTCCTCCGCCTCCTCGGGCAGGTAGGAGCGCTTCCTGGTGTTGGCGGGCGGCCGGAGCGAGGCCCCCACACCCGCCGGCGGCGGCACCTGCCGACCAGGTTCGGTCGGGGCGGAGGGCGGAGCCGGCAGGTAGGCGCCGCCGCGAGGGGGAGGCGGGCGAGAGGGAGCGCTGCCCTGAGGGGAAGCAGCCGCGGCCCCGCGCGTGTGAGGGGCGAGTTTCCCTCAGGAGGAGCGGGACGTGTCGGGGGAAGGTGGCGCCGCCGAGGGGATCGCTTCCTTGTTGGGCCGCCCGCCGCCGCCGCCGCCGCCCTCCTCGCGCCTCCTCCGGGAGAGCGGCGGCCGCGAACCGGGGCTGCCCCGCCCCGCCATGTCAGCGGAGGAGGAGGCGGCGGCGGCGGCTTCCCCGCGGGCTCCGTGAGGGGCTGGAAGGCGGCGGCAGCAGCAGCCCTTCTTTAAAAGGGCGGTCCGTTTATCTATTCCCCGCCTTTTCCCCCTGACAAGGACTCGCCTGACCGCTTACCCACCACGTCCAACTAGCAGCTGCTTTTAAATTTTATTGCAGTTGTTATTATATCATTAATTTATACACTGCCATTTCCACCTGACCACATGTCCTCCCAACCCGTCCAAGTGGGGTGTGGTGTGGTGGGAGATGCCTGGAAAAGAGCACCTTTTTTTAGAGCAATTAATTATTATTGCATTACATACTTATTTGTACTCTGTCTTATTCGCTGTCAGGGATTCAGTTGACCACTTCTCTGCTGCGTCCAAGCAGGATGTGTGTGTGTGTGTGTGTGTGTGTGTGTGGAGGTGGCTGGAAGGGAGCTGCTGCTGCTGCTGCTGTTTTTTAATGACAATTTTATTTTATGAAATTCATGTACCACTTGATTGTAGAAAAAACAACACCCTCAAAGCAGTTCACAACTAAAAGATAAAGCAATACAGTGGACACTCGGGTTGTGAACATCATCCGTGCGGGAGGCACGTTCGCAACCTGCAGCGCCATGTCTGCACACGCGCAGGTTGCGATTTGGAGCTTCTGTGCACGCGCAAAGCGTGATTTAGCGCTTCTGCGTGAGCGCCAAAACCCAGATGTAACCCATTCCGGTACTTCCGGGTTTGGCGCAGTGCGCAACCCAAAAACGCACAACCTGAAGCATCTGTAACTCGAGGTATGACTGTACAAGGATCGCTAAAGAAAACATTATCTCCATGATTTGATACACACAGGTTAAAACCACTATAGAACAGACTGACTAAAACAAATTAAAACTCAATTAATTAATAAAATTAATATACCTCTTTATTGTAGGGAAAAAACACTAATCAGTTTAAAAATGATAAAATCATCACTAAAATGTTTTCTTACCTCCATAATTTAAAACATAACAGAATTAAATCTACAAACTTTCCAAACATCTGGGTAGGCAATAATATATTTATAACCCTGCTCCCCGACCAGGGACTTAGTTCCTCCACTTGTTGACATATCTGCCGGGCCTTGTTTCCGCATACTTTTGTGTTAAGCACTATAAAGCAGGGTTGTTGTTTTTCTCCTGAGCTGACACTGTTGGGTTTTTTTGGTAGGAAGGTACTAAGAGGGGGTCATTTGTATTTGGATTTTGATACAGAAGGATCCCACCCTGTCCTCTACTGCTTTGCTGCATTCTATCAACTGTATGTCCTCCAGTCCACACTGGCAAAAAAACCCCTGGAAATGGGTACTTACCTGTGAATTTCTGTTTGAAGAGTGGACTTGGGGGGCCACAACATTCACTCACCCCTTGACACACACAGTCTTACGGAGTGTGGGGATTCATATGCTTTCGTCCTGGTTTGGAATGGATGAAGATGGTATGGTGGTGTTACGTCTGCTCTCTCTCTGCTAACCCTAACCCTCCCTGCTGCACTAGGAGAGAGAGAAAACAGCTATGAGTCTTGTCTCCTGAGCAGCAGCACCAATAGACACTGCAAGGAGCACAGCCCACTTCTCTGGTGGCTGCTCTTTGCCGCTTGATCACCCACCAGAGAAGCCGTCAGTTCAGCCTGCCACCCAGGCAGGGCTCCTTCTAACCACCACTCCTCTGCCTTTATGTGGTGGTGGTGAGGAGTGCTGCTGCCGGCACAGGTGACATCACATTACGTCACAGAAGGAGTGGGGTGGCAACAACAACAACTCCCAGCAACTCTTCTGTTGGTAGTGGTGGCTACTGTGCCCTCAGTAGCCACTGCTTGTGGTTTGTGCTTGTGTACCCCTTGAGTTGCTGACCCTCAACAGTTACCTGCCAGTTCAGACCTCTGGCAGTAGTACAGTGGTACCTTGGGTTAAGTACTTAATTTGTTCTGGAGGTCCATTCTTAACCTGAAACTGTTCTTAACCTGAAGTACCACTTTAGCTAATGGGGCCTCCTGCTTCTGTTGCGCCGCCGGAGCATGATTTCTGTTCTCATCCTGAAGCAAAGTTCTTAACCTGAAGCACTATTTCTGGGTTAGCGGAGTCTGTAACCTGAAGCGTATGTAACCCGAGGTACCACTGTACTGCCTGAGTGAGTTAATGGCAGCATTAGTTAATGTACTCACCCAGTCTTGGAAGGGGAGGAGTGCTTATGTCTCTGCCATGCTCTGTGTTGGTAGTAGTTTTGAGGTGTATCCTGCAGGTGGGGAAAGCCATTTTGAATAATTTCTCATGTTAGAAAACCACTACAAGTAAGCAAACCTAGAACATCAGGGATAAAGATCCAAGGCCAACCAATTCACTAGGTTTGGTTAGGTTTCTTCTATGGAGTATTTTGCGTAAGGGCGGTCCCCTCTTACCCTGGAGACTGGATGGTAAGGTAAAAAAGGTAAAGGACCCATGTAAAGGTAAAGGGACCCCTGACCATTAGGTCCTGTCGTGACTGACTCTGGGGTTGCCGCGCTCATCTCGCTTTATTGGCCGAGTGAGACGGCGTACAGCTTCCGGATCATGTGGCCAGCATGACTTAGCTGCTTCTGGAGAACCAGAGCAGCGCCGTTCACCTTCCCGCCGGAGCGGTACCTATTTATCTACTTGCACTTTGACATGCTTTCGAACTGCTAGGTTGGCAGGAGCAGGGACCGAGCAACGGGAGCTCACCCTGTCACGGGGATTCAAACTGCCGACCTTCTGATCGGCAAGTCCTAGGCTCTGTGGTTTAACCCATAGCACCACCCGCGTCCCTCCATGTACGGTTACGTCCAGTCAAAGGCAACTATAGGGTGTGGTGCTCATCTCGCTTCAGGCCAAGGGAGAAGGTGTTTGTCCACAGACAGCTTTCTGAGTCATGACTAAATCGCTTCTGGTGCAACAGGACACCATGACGGAAGCCAGAACACACAGAAACACTGTTTACATTCTCGCCGCTGCGATACCTATTTATCTACTTGCATTGGTGTGCTTTTGAACTGCTAGGTTGGCAGAAGCTGGGACAGAACAACGAGAGCTCATACCCGGAACCGCGGACCTTCTGATCAGCAAGCCAAAGACGCTCAGTGGTTTAGACCACAGCGCCACCTGCTCCCTACAGACTGGATGGTGTTATTATCCATTCAGTCACTTCATTCTGCTACATGTGTAGACACAGCTGTATTGACTAGACTAGCCTACATTTGACAACAACAACAATAAGTAGAACCTGCAAAAGAATGTTGCTATGTGGAGTTCTTCTGTTTACTGTTCCACTTAGTTAAAAATGTCATTCTCCGTGATACTCCATTCTATTCACCTTCCCATCTGGCTTCTGGCTTTTCTCCCTCTGATCTATGACCACTGGGCATAGCCATTCTTGGTCTGTTTGTGGGGTTCAGCCAGGGTGGATTTGATTTAAATCAAATCAGTTTAAATCACAATTTAAATCACTAGTCAGTAAGACTTGATTTAAATCATTTTTTTTACAGAAAGACTCATTCTTGCTGGTATAATCTTAATATGTATTTACAACCAGATGGAGGTTTCCTTTTTGGAATAATAAATTTTCAGAGTAGTTTTTACAGTTACTGTATATCAAAAATTACTGATTTGGTAATACTATTAGAAATACGTAGATCATTATGAAATCATTGTGAGTTTTAATAAGTTAACTGTTTATATTTAGACAACTTTTCTGCTGTACTTTATTGGAAGGAGAAAAATAATCATTTCCTTAATAACAATTTAAACAATTTATTGAACTAAAGCAATAACATTATAGCATATGTATCCATGTTTGTTAACTGGTGTGGTTAGACTTTAAAAAAAACCAACAACTTTGAGTTTTAGCACACATGAAAAACGTAAAACAAATCCTTATTTCCTGATGAATAGCCTTTGGACTATAATGTAACTTAAATAGAAAACTATCTTTAGAAAGGTTTTTCCTCCAAAAGCATTTTGTTTTAAAATTCCAATTTTAAAAAAAATCCTATTTAAATAACAAACATTTTTTTTAAAAAAAACAAACATTAATTTTTATCCACCCTGGGTTCAGCCTCTTGAGGGTTTTTTCTTAAATATTTTCTGTACTTCTGTAAACCTTGGGATTCCTTCAAAGTAGCTGATAACTCCTTCATGTGCAAGGGTGGTGCTGTTTTGGCTACATGAACAATGACACGCCTCTTCCTGTAGAGGAGTTTGTATAAACAAGCCCGATAACAAAATGTTGCAGTGTAGCCCTGATGTTCATATATTCCTCAAGCCTGTGGTTCTTTGTGTGTATATGTTTTACTTCATTATCATTTTTAAAAGTTTTTGAACATTTAAAAGTGCAGCAAGTCAACAGAGCACAAGACTTCTGCATGCAGTTGAGTGCTTGGTTTGAACATATAACCACTCCAGGTTTTATTTTACTGAGGGCTGGGACACTCATTGTCTCCAAATTCAGTCCTTTATTCTATTTTCTATAAGCATTAACTTTTATATGCAAAAAGTGTGTGGGCACAAGCTGTTTGGAGTGGTGCTAAATCTGCCCCTGGTGATTGCACCAGTTGACAATGAATTGCGCTTCTGTTTGATCACACCCATATGTGACAGAAAGTTAGAAACTGGGTGTTACGGATTGTAATTTTCATACAATACCTTTAGGGGCATAACACCCATGTAAGCAAAAATACAGGTTTGTGCCCATACAGTCTAA